TTCTGGTGCTGGACACATTCTTCAATGGAAGTACCCGTTACACAACCGAAAACACGCTAACTGCCTCATTACGGATTCGCCGACACCAATTCACACGAGCTATGGTTCTGAGACAACGACTGTGGAACAGCTGAAGACGTCTCATTTCCGCTGCTCGAATAGGCCAAGCCTCACAGCCATACAACAAAACAGCTTGTACTGTAGCTTGATACAAACGTCCCTTGAGATTCAGGGATAAACCAGTATGACGCCATAAGTGTCTCAAATTAGCAAACGCGGCCCGAGCCTTGCAGATTCGTGCATTGACCTCATCCGTCACACTATTGTCGGAACTAATACAACTTCCAAGATACGTAAAACGCTCCAGATGTTTTCGTTGTCAACTCTCTGAATCTCGCGTCTGTTTCCTACGATTCGTTTCATTGAGCAGAAACTCGATGCTGATCGTTTTTCACCAGGCTATTTCAGGCGCCCTTCCATATTCACAGAGGCAAGCGAGACGATGCCAGACCGAATCATTTGCAATAGGTGTCTATTCTCTGTCGGCATGCAAGTTGGCGTTTAAACAATGGAATTCAACCGAAAAAAACATGTGCGGGACAAGTGAAAACGACGAAATATAAACCAGGGAGTGAAGCAGAGTGGCGTCGATGCAATACATAGAAGAGCCTTCCGAGTTGTACAAACGGTCCAGCAAGACAAGAATAAGGGGGAGGGGGGCGAGAAGGCAGTGATAGGTGAGACAAGATAAGCCAGGTAAAAAAACACAAGCGAAAGACACAAAGCGGCAACAGCAGTACTACAAGTACTACCTGGCAGTAGCAATGAGAAGACTGCCGTGAAAATCAATGTGGTCCGATAACCGCAGAGGAGATTTCAGGCCAAGGGTACTAGAACTTGGACATAGTTGGTTGGAAAGTGTCCATGTTGACCTTGAAATTCTCCTAGGAACCAATTTTCATCGACCTGAAGAAAGTAAGCATAATGGAAGAGGTTATGAGACCCGGTGAAGGTATATGACCTAGAGAAGTTGAATACATTAGCAGAAACAAACTAATACTCCCAATGAGTACAGGCCGTCTACTTAGTACTGAAAAATCAACCGCGGGTGATACTGGTTCACAGGTGTTCAGGGTTATGGATTTCCAGAGCACCAAGAGACCATCCTGTGATCCTAAGGCTCGTCGGAGAATGTTCCTGAAGAAACCCAACAGCCAGAAACATGTATATTTCAATGACAATAGTGGGATGTTTTGTCTTTTAGATCGGTTAACCGCAGATGAGTCGTAGGATATCATGGTGGAAGTAAAGTCGACTGATAATTCCTAACGTGTGCCTAAGAAGAGGACAAGAGTTCTTGGCTCTTTTGTGACACTAACTGAGACGAGGCTCCGAAAAGCTGGCAGAGCGACAAGGGGCGGAACAAAACCTTTGGTGCCAGGTTATTACTCCCAGATTTAAGCAGAGCCTAAGAATGAGCTTGTAGAGACCGATTTTGACACGTACTGGGTCCATTGACCACAAGAGGAGCTTAGTTCAACGTGTCCTACCCTTCAGTTGTTGGTTACCAGATAACGTTTGGCAGTGCTGTAGGTGTACATCTGTGCAGAAGTCCCGGGACGACGAGAAACGGAGCCAAAACCTCAGATGAGTATATACGATGGGCACCAATGGAGGGCTAACGTGCAAGTCTGTGACCCCCTAATTTGCATGACTAGATATTTTTGGAGACCCAATGATCCCACCTCATTAGCCACGGACATTCTAGTGGGTACTTTCTTCGATGCCTGTTTGGGGACAACAAAAAATCTGAGCGCGTTTCAGTCCAATCAATGCAGGTCACTGAGTCAGGAGAGGAAATCAACCCAAATTGTTATGTGCACGAAAGAAGTACATCAACAGTGAGGTGATCGCTTCATTTATTGACGTTTCAAATGACTTTAGAGTTGACATTTAGGTTGGGACTTGGGAAAACTATTCCATGGGTATTCTGTAGAATGCATCTATTTGTCCCTGCATGGTCCTTTGGACTGGATCAAAAGCGGTGTTTACCGTGCAGTGTAGAAATCGATTTACGATTCAACATTGCCTAGATTACGACCAGCGTTGATCGACTAGGCACCTGATCAGTGGAGGGACACGTGAGGTGAGTCACGTGAACGAATGATTATAGACAGCTGATCACTTAATGGATGAAAAGTCACACGAGATGAACCTGTGAACAAAGGACGATACGTAGCAGTGGGAATAGCCATACAAATGAGACAAAAGAAGTTTTGTAATAACCCAAAATTGCGTGATTCACTGAATGGGATTTTGTGCAGTAAAGTCACTGCGTAGCTGAGCAGAAAACACCAGACACGATGTGTACAGTTTCTTTGGGGTGACAATTTAGTATATCGGAGCTTTCGGCACACATAGGTCAACGTTTTGTATCTGGTTCCCACTGAGTAGCTCGAAGTGATACCTTTATCCCCGCTCGTTTTTTTTGTGGGAGAACAAGTTTCACTCGAAGGAAAAACAAATGTGAAATTCGGAATTGGCAATGTTTGCGTAATCTGTTGTGAAACCAATACGGAATTCAGGTGTTGGAAAGGGGAGAACGAAATCAGCTATGCTTTCTATCCTGAGATTTACGTCTCACAGTGTAGTACAACGCGAAAAAGGTTTAACCTTGGGATGGAATCACAAAACATTTCTTTCTACATTAACGTCAAGCGTAAATAAAGCCCCATCTGAAAGTACTTATGAATAGGCGAAGATCAATAGCTGTGGGTGATTCGTCACTCACTACCGCGTCGCAAGATTCACAAAAATTGTGGCTTTAAGGTATATTTCTAGCTGTACGGGGGCTGTTATGAAGAAAACTTTGGACCGCAAGCAACAATGGATTTGACATCGTCTCATTTGGAAAACCAAGCAAAGGACACTAGCCAGGGGACACGAACCCGAAACCTCCACATAACTGAAGGCTGTTCAATCAGCTGAGCTACCTACAACAGCGCACACGGTTCAAACGCCGGGAGCGGCCATTCGTCTCATAAGCGAAAGGCCACAGCTCGAAAGATCTTAACCATTTGGGCATGAAGTGTCGTGAAAAAGCTAAATCGCACCAAGGAAGACTTCTGTCAAAGCCACGTTCACAAAACATGAAAAATTCTCACATTAAAATGTGTTATTAAAAGCTGACAAGCCTTCCAAAAACAGAGACAATTTCAACCAATTTCACGATGGGTACACCATTATTGAATTTTTTAATCGGCAGCAAGAATGCAGTGATACCCAACG